TGTGATTTATATGGTGGGTGTCTAGGCGTTGAGACAGACAAAAGCACAACGTAGACTTGGACGAAATGCAACAACTTAAACACCAGGTGTCCAACGATAATGAAAGTATGTTTATTTCTAAGATATAAGTGTCTTCTATCATCTGTCGTCTTCTGGTCTCTAGCAAGTATTCCCTAACAACTGTTCAGTTCTATCGTAGCTCTTTTCTCTCTCTTCCTCAACTAATCCGTAGTTCTTCTCTATCTTCCTCAACTAACTACTGTCGCTCCTTTCCCTCTTCCTCAACTCGTTGTACCTGTGTTCACTCTCCCTCAACTAACCTAACTCAGTGAAAGCTCCCTCTTATATGTGATTATCTACCCCCCATAGGTGGTCCAGGAATGCTATCTATAAACACACCCATGCCCCCTAATTTCCGGTCAATTAGACCTTCCCATTGTTAACCCAAAAATTATCATGCGAAGTCTGGAAAACCCGAATATACTATTATCCAAAGAAGCTATCCCCACTATATCAAGATGTGAGAGTCTATTAACCTTAACTTAACCCCATTAACAGCAGTTTCCTTCCATCCTATACGTTACCTTAACAACAATGGAGCTCTGTCCTATACCCCCGCCCCAATCATTTGTGACACTCTCCATGCAGCAAAATATTTATGGGATACGGCCTTCCTCCATTCTCCTTACGTGGCCTAACCAGCAAAGGCGCCTCTTGCTAAGAAAGGAGAATATGCTAAACGTGTGCATGTTCCAAGACCTTCGTGTTAGGTACCTTGTCGTGCCATTGAATGCGTAAAATGTGACGCAGACATCTTTGGTGGAAGCTATTTTTAAAGTGTACTCGTTACGGTTGAACACAGGGAGCCTACTGAAAACCATAATTTTTACATAGCTGCGGCTAATATTATTGTAGCCGTGTCTAGCGAGTTCATTATGACAACACAATGCAACAATATAACAATCCCCACTAGCATTACAAAAATGTGGCAGTGTTTATTTCATAGACATAAATATTTAGACCACCCCCCCCCCACCACCTGTACATAAAATCTCCTAAATCAACATCACTCCCTTCTCCTCGGAGGGCAAACGTAATATAATTATAGATGGTACCCAGCCAATCTTATTTCTCAATCCATTCACTGCTGTATGTAGGATGCAAATGCAAGTGAAAACTAACAACCGAAAATTAATTTATTAAATATATTTTTTTTTTTTTTCTTCAGAAAAACTACTGGAATGTATATATTTTCTACCTGGTCTCTTAAAATCATAGTCCTAGCAGGTCTTGATTTACAATCGTAAAAGACATCTCAAAAAAATTACATTGTACGCCAAAATCATAAGAGTAAACAGGTCTATGTTCCATACCTCTTCAAGTGACATTTCAAATTCTTCACAGTCTATCATGCCTATGGGGTTGATAAGTCCACAGAGATGATGCATACCATAAAGTTGTGAAGCCCATCGAGGTTCAGTTAAAATGCAACATTTATTCTGTAATATGTCTGAGAGCTCCTAAGGAAAGAATAAGTGGCAATATTTAACAAATTTGAGCTTTTACATGATCATTTCATTTATGGATTAGAGCTGAGGCCAAATTCGTTCCTAACCCAGCCCGCAGTGTCTGAGCGACAGTGAACTGGCCCACTGTTTAAGAAGTTTGAGGTCCCTGGAGAGTAATGATGATGTTGTTAGTCTTTTAAAAAAAATGGTAATTTTATATAAATCAAGGTTTTGTGTTTTCATTCTCAAAGTTAAGGTGGTCACTAGTTTGTCGTAATAATTTATTTAGAATTCACATTTCATTTACTGATATAGTTTATTTCTGAGTAAGGTATTTTAACTTATAGGCAGGGCTGCAAGGTTTACTCAATGTGACTTATAACTGTAAAAGTAATCTTAACCAAAATAAGTGCTTGAAACTGACATTTATTATGACTTCATACTGGTATTGAAATAGGAACCTTAAACAGTCTTATTTTTATATTAATTTGACAGGGAAAAAAATAACTTTATTACTCGTAATAGTATAAGCTCTTGTAATAAGATTTAAAATAATATTTTAAGTTTGTATGTATAAACAATATTTTTTTAAACTTACATCTAGGTTATTAGCATGGGGAAGACGAACACCTACTCCAGCAATACGTGCAATGGCATTGTATTTTGAGCCACAATCTGTACTTGGTACTGTTGAAGATGTCATATCTACTAGCTTCTTGTCTGAAATTGAAGTAGACAATTACATTATAGGACTATAAATCAACTGAGGAGACAAAAAAAGGAGAAAAGTTGATAAGACAAATAAAGAGATGGAAAATTTACCGAAAAGAAAAATAAGTAGAGTATTGAGATGTGCTATCCTTTTTAACATAGTGTACACATTCTATGAGTCTTGTTAGGCACAAGACCTATAAGTATACACATTTTTATATATTGTGGATTGTTCAGACCTGGATGCAACCTGGGTGGGGGGAATCCCACAGCAGGATAACCAACTAACTGACCAAAGGTTCTAGCGTATCAGATCCCACAGCATAGTAACCGACCAACTGACCAAAGGTTGTAGTGTATCAGATCCCACAGCATGGTAACCAACCAACTGACCAAAGATTGTAGTGTATCAGCTTTCCCCGGGACGACAGTTACGCTGCGGATTTATGACCATTTAGACGGTGGGAAAATTTAAGTGCCTGAGATGTGGGATTAAGATTAAAGACCTGGGAAGGAATCTCTAGGGGCGCGGGACTTATAAAAAAGGACTGTTGGCAGGACTGGGGAGAACTCCGCCGGACAAGAAAGCAGACAGCTCCGACGGATAGGAGTAGAGGACCAGTCATGTGGACACAGTGGACAGAGAGACAAACAGAGGACAGTCAGAGTTGAGTGTGAGAGAAGGTGAATTCGATGAAGACAAAAAAAAAAGGTCAAAGACTCCAACCATCGCCTGAGTTGTCTGATTGGTGAAATATGCGTTACAGTTGAATCAAGTGTTACCAACCAAACAAAGAGATACAAATTAAAGGTTTAACAGAGACAAACCAAGGTTCTCTACAATATATATATATTTTAATGATTAGATTAGTCATTTAAATTCCAAAAAGGGTAGCCTTCATCCACCCCATAAATTTTGTGCCTATAGTGCCTACAGTAGGGTAACCAGACGTCAGTATTTAGGATAGACAGTATTTTCACCCCCTCCCAATTTTTGTGTCATATTTGTCCATCCTTTTCACTTGTTGTCCACCTTGTCCGTACTTTTGGCAGCGATGACTTGCTCGGCTTATTTCCATTTTTTTATCTTATTTCTCAGCAAAGGCCAGCGCAATGAATAGTTTCAGCGCCATCGTGCAGAATATTTCTCGGTAAGCATTACTTCTGCACTTGCATAAAACCATGTGAGACATCTGCGCATGTAAATGAAATCTTCACAGTCTAAGTTTTTGACATCAATCTCTTTGATGAGCTAACTTATGTGAAACAATTTTTGTCACCTGCTAAGCTGGAAGGTTGGAACTCATTTTTGTAGATCAAAAATGGGTGCCAAACAACATTTCAAAGCAAATGATGTAATTCTATAAATTTTCAACTACTGCTTGAGTTTCATTGAGCGTTCCCATCACAAAAAATGGACCTTTGGAACAAGCTTTCTCTCATGAAAGAATATTTGGACGCCTGAGACTGAGAAATCACAGCTGAAAGTAGCCACTATGGGAGATATTGTGAATGTTCAGTTTAACATTAATGTAACATGTCCTCAATTTCATGATAATGATAGTCTATGCTTCTTAAGAATGAAAATTTTTTAAAACTATTCAAGGTTCTGCAAAATATTTCGCAATAGGTTGAAACAAATGATGTACAGCAGGATAATAAAAATCATGCATAACCCTAACCCCCTTTTTCTTTCCTTTGTCTTCTCCCCCCCCCCCCCCCGCCTTTGCGTCCGTATTTGGCATCCAAAAAATATGATAAGCTTACCCTTAGTTATGGGGGGGAGCTTGTGTCACAATAATAAAAAAATTAAATTAGGCCCAGGCCTATGTCATGTTGTGTACTAATGATTAATGTTGGCAATGACAATCCAATTCCTAAGTCCAAGACAATGAAGAGTAGGTATATTTTAATTAACTATTAACGAAGTTGTAAAGCCATAATGATAACAATTTAATAACAAATGAAAATGTGACAATTTCAATTGCTGACTTGGAGTTTAAGCTTTATTAAATTAAGTTTATTAAAAAGCTGCGGCTATTCGGACCCGGTATCAAAAGTGAGAAGTGGGACTCGGGTCCGAATGGCGGCGATGCGTGTCCGGGGCCATTTTGACTAAAACTAAATGCTATACTATTCTGATGTCATTTGTGGTAGTTTATTTTAGTTAATCTGAAGAATTAAGTTTACAAACATATAGTCCATTCAATTATCTTTCATTCGATACCAAATTTTATCTTACAAACCAAACAATAATATTTTTTTAAAATTTGAATCCCAACCTCTCACTTCTGGTAGCCGGGTCCGAATTGCCACTTCGTTATTTTAACGCATGTCCCGGGTAGGCCTGTCTAAATCTTATCATTATTCTCCGCATCAAAAAATTGAGACTTTAAAAAAAATGTTGATATAATAACAACATATAATCTAAGCAAAAATAAAAAAATAAATTAATAAATAGTACATTACCCCACCAATCAAGAAGTTGGTAATCTAAAGGCATAGAAATCACGTGAAATTTTCACTCAAAACAAATACGCGGTAGGCGGTAGGCACTCTCCAAAATGAAAAGCACAAAACAAACTGTTGAATGAAAAATTTAAAAAAAAATAAAATGCACCTGTTTTTTTTTCCTTTCTTTTTTAATGAAAATATGATGGAAGTGTCATTTCAATGGTTAAATTTATTAATGATTTTAAAAATCAACAACTGAAATTAAATTGCACATTGAAATTAATAAAAATAATTTGAATGACAATGAATCACATGATGTTACATGTCACATGATCAAACAAAATGGCTGCTGCAACAACGAAAATAATACTGCTGTTGAATCTAACTTCTATCTGGTGGATCTATTGGGCTACTTGTAATTTTTAAAATATCCTATTGATTAATTATAAATATGTAAGGCTAATGTCTAGAGCGCATCCCGTAACGTCATTTGCGTGTCTCGGGACATTCTCTAGACTAGACATTTATTTACCCATAAGTGACATTTTACCGCATTTACGAAAGTTTCCACGGAAAAACGTTAACTAAAACTATGTGGTGCATGTAATAAGTAAGGGATCATCCATAATGACAAAAATAATAAAAAATAAATAATGTCACTTGTCTAGGGTTGAGAGGGGGGGGCACATTTCTGTGACGAGGTGGGGTGTTAAAGCAATGTGAAGTCACATTAAAATTAAAAGCAGAACATTTTAATTTTATTTAAAAATATGCACTTAAACTTAATGTCAATGTCACTAAATCACAGACCTTTTTAACATTATTATTTTTTTTTATACATAAATCAAATTATAATAATTCTATTAGTCTATTTTCAAACTAAGAGTGATTTAGAAATGTCATCTTAATCAAGTTACAGGATGCCATGGAGGAGGAGAATCAGGGTGTAGTGAAAGACAATCTTAGTGTCATTGGAAAGCTTAAAAACAGCTCTTTCCAATGATGTGCTCTTTGTTTATGTCAGATGCGGGAGTCATAGAATTGGGGCTACTACGGAAAGTGAGATGAACCGAGAAATTTTGGACGGAGGGGTGGAGGAATTTAGTATATGTTCTAGGCCAGGGATTTTTAAAGGCAGAAACAACTAACAGTTGCAGCAAATGAAATTAATTTCCTGAGTTTTCCATACCATAGGGGTGCTTTCACCCCTGTTTATGAACCACTGTTCTAGGGAAATGTTTCTGACACAGGTGCAGTAATTTGATATCCACAGGATATGATTTTTGTAAGGGTTTGTTAAGGACAGTAATGGACAGATGCATTTTTTAGGGGGGGGGGGGTGCAGAGGTTTGTGAGGTGATTGGGGAGAGGGGTCTTAATTTTTTTGACAATTTGACTGACACAGGTGCAGTAATTTGATATCCACAGGATATGATTTTTGTAAGGGTTTGTTAAGGACAGTAATGGACAGATGCATTTTTTAGGGGGGGGGGGGGCAGAGGTTTGTGATGTTATATGGGAGAGGGGTCTTAATTTTTTTGACAATTTGTGACAATGGGAGGGGGGTAAAAAATTTGCAAAATTTGCCTGACGTCATTTACGAATGGCACCTAATACATGCATTGATTACTTAGACTAAACTTTAAAGTACCTTCTTACAGGTAGACTTAGTTAGCTTAGGCTTAGACTAGGCCTAGGCAGGCTTATATTATATAGTTATTACTATGTATAGACTGATTGTATAATATATAGGTAAATTTGACTTTCCTCGCCATGTCGCTTCCCATGGATGCCATCTGGGTTGCCATAACCCTTGATAAGTCATGAGTCATGACAACTAAGATGGCGGCCTTGTAAAAAAAAAAAAAAGGGAAAAATTCAGCACATTACAAATAAAAACTTAGAAAATTAATAAAAACATACACATGTAATTAAGTAATTTGAGCCTGTACATAAATTTCTTGCAAGCGAAGCTATTCTAATGTATCCATCTAGATATGTGGCAAGAGATGTAAACGACCTGCAGTCGTCCCCTTCCAGACATAATTTCAGCCAGTACATGCTCATGCCCCTCAACTTTTTTTGCACACAGCTACAGTTACACACTGTGGTAAGAAAACTATTAAAAAATGAAGAAAAACAATACAAAATAATTTTAAAATAATGAAAACCCAACTTACAATTTCATAAAATACAATTTTTACACGCTTTATTTCAGGTTCAACCAAAAACTAAATCCAAAAGTTGTCAGAAAATCAATACAGTACAATATAATACTATACTCATTTTCCAAAATGTCAGAAAATTTAAATATTATATTTAACCAAACACTTAGATTTTAATTTAAAACATTCCAGTCATTGAAATTAAAGAAAAGTTAACTCGAATAACAACACAAGAATTTAAAAAACGGAGAGAATCCTTCACACTCATACGTCATGGTGCGGATTGCAGAAATTGACCTATATTACTAAAGTAGAACCTGGTTATGTCGATGGCCTCGGGGTTTGCTAAAAAGCACAGAGATAACCGATGATGAAGATAACCGAAAATCAATATGGAGGCAATAGATTAACATGTACTTGAAATTTCTTTATGTACATGATGTGTGTTAATAAATGCAGGCACTTTAGTAAAAATAATAATAATTTTTTAAATATTACAGTTCTTTAGAGCAAATTTCAAATTTAAAAAATTAAACCAGTATCAACTTTATTACTTTTTGAGCTACGAATTTTTAAAGTGCGAGTTAGTTTGGTATTTTCTACTATGGACGAAGCCTCCACAGTTTGTGACCTCATTCTGCTGATTGTGTCTTGCGCAATGACTATATAGTTTATATAAGGCAACACATCCCCTTATTACTAAAATACTGTTTAGGGACTACTTATTTTGAACTTTCAACTTTGACACATGACTATTTTAATAAAGCTTTCCCTGACCAATGGTTTAATAGCTTTTGCACACGGCAAACTCTTATGAATGAAACTCCTACTTAGAACCACGGCATAGCCACTATGCAAATGACCGTGAATAGCTGCCCATGAAATTTTTTTGCACACGGCAAATAATGATCATTTATAATATGCACTGTACCTGGTTTTTAAACCTGAATTAAAACAAATTTATTTAAATTACTTCTAGGTTCATTCTATAACACAACTCCGTATTTTGAGAAATAAATAATATTTTTAATTATGAAAAACTTGTTGTTTGCTATTTCTTCTTGCGGAGTTCAAAAGCCATTGGTCATGGGGATCGAGATAACAGAGGTTGAGTGGCAAATTTGACCGCATTTTGTGCTCAAGATATCAGGGTTTGGCGACATAAACGAATCGATATAACGGACAAGAAAATGCTAATACAAAGGGAGAATTTAGCGGTTCCACTCCAAAAATGTTGACATAACAGGGTTGGCGAGTTAACAGAGGTCGAGATAAGTGGGTTAGACTGTATTTTAAGTTCAATAAGACTCAGTTACTGAGTTTAAAAAGTCAAAGACTAGTGTAGTGAATAGCTTTTAGTGTATTGTATATTAGTAGGCCTAATTACTCACTCTAAGTCAGCAACTTCAGTGAGGGCTAGTCACTTGTTTTAGTGAATAGCTAATGTTACCGTACTATAATATTATTCTACTATATCCACTTAATTATAAGTACAGTAAATACTCATAATTTAGCATGACAACTCTATAGTCTATAACTATAGTATATTAGTCTATTTACTGTAACTCTAGTCTAGTCCATCTTAGTCAGAGCTCTGCAACCGGTATGCCACAGCATAAGGGCTACAGGAGGGGGAAAAACACAAACACAGAGCTTAAAAAAATTTCAACCATTTAATAAATTTGCGTTTGATAAACTTGATAAGTAATAAGCTTATCACCAATTTGTTAAGATTTTGCAGTTAAATATTTCAGAATGTATGCACATAAAAATTAGCATTTAGATTTGTCCTGCGCAAACTATTCCCTCTTAAAGACTCTTTAAAAAAATTGCAATAACATAATTCTCAGCCATTTTTTATTTTGAAATCTGAAGCCATTGCAAGAATGAGATAGCAGAATTGTTTTTAAATTGCAAGAACAGATCACAGGTATTGAATTTTATAAATGAGATATTTTTTTTAGTAACAGGTAATTTCTTCAAAACTTATTGGATTCGAAGTTGTAATTCTGTTACTTTTTTGCGCAGATGCCTCTGATGAGCAATAATGTTTATAAAAATTATATTTTTTAGAATTTCAAACTACTAATGCCAAATTCATCGAGAATCATTGTTGGTTAATAAAAATTTCCTATAAACTATTTCCAGGGTAACTAATTTGTCAGTGTCATAAGTTAATTTTTTTAAAAATTAATATTTTGCGCAGCTCTTCTGAGAACGCTCTGGCTTCTGGGTTGCAGCAGCACACACAATGGTACAACTCTGTAGTATGTTACTAGTGACTCGTGGAAATAATTTTAACCCAAGCATTTCCAGCATTATAAATAGCAAATTTGGACTCAGGCTTTACATTTCATTTCAGTTATTTCCGTTTCTGTTTTTTTAGGTGCTCCATGTGTGCCATACATTGTGAAGTCAAGATATATTGTATGTGTGTGTAACAGCACATACTGTGATACAGTTCCATCAGCTGATAGAGTATCCAAAGGACAGTTTATTGTCTTCACCACTTCACAGGATGGATTTAGATTCAATAAACAGATTTTACCGGCTAGCAATGTCTCCAAAACTAATGGTAGGCTCAGCTTTTGATGAGGTATCATGAAACTTAATTTTATTAAATATAAATATATCTAGCCTGCTTTACATAAAAACCTTCATAATTAAAAAATTAGTTATATTCACAATGCAGCCTGCAATAAAATAATATTGAGAGTAATAGTAGTTAACACAATAGTTGGCTTTAATCAAGAATTTTGATTTTTTTTTTTGTCTTCAGCAATATATTATGTAAAACTAAATGAAACTCGTCAGACAATCATTGGTTTTGGAGGAGCTTTTACAGATGCAGCAGGAATAAATATCGCAAAGCTACCGAGTGAAGCACAGGACAAACTTATTAATTCTTATTATTCCAAAGATGGTAACTGGCACATTATGTAATAAAACTTTAATTCGCAACTCAGTTCAAGTTTAGTCTGCTGAGATTAATGTAAAAGAGCATTGATTTTTAAAACTATGTTGTGATTGAAACTGAAAAATTTGCAGACAAAACTCTTGGTTCTTTTCAAGGTATTGAATATACAATTGGTCGAGTTCCCATTGCAAGCTGTGACTTTTCAACCCATCCTTATTCTTATGATGACTTTTCTCAAGATTTGAACTTAACGAAATTCTCATTGGCTTCAGAGGATTTCAAATATAAGGTAAATTTTGACAATCTGCTTAGGATTTTGGTTATACCTATAGGATTTTGGTTGTATTTATAGTATGGTTTAGATTACTCATTGACGTGTTAATCAATAAAAAAAATCTTATTTGTGAATAAAGTATTAATTAATTATTTATTTATTAAATAGTTGTGTTAATGACATCATTTTTCTGATTGATGTATAATTGAATATTCTTAGATACCATATATTCAGTCAGCTATGAAAGTAACCACTCAGCCAATCAAATTTTTTGCCAGTCCCTGGAGTGCACCAGCCTGGATGAAAACCAATAACAATATGACTGGAAAGGGTTCTCTTATTGGACAACCAGGAGGACCTTATTTTAAGGCTTGGGCTAACTACTTTGTAAAGTGAGTTGTGGTCTTCATAGATTCTTGGAGTGGGTCAGAGGCAAATCTGTTTCTGGAACCATCATTTCATTCAATTTATTTGCTAATTTAGTAAATTCTTTGACTGAATGCTATTCATCATCATAATATATAGATTACCGGTATATGTATTTATACAGATGCTTTTTTAAATTAATACCCGTAATACAAAATACATTTAATTGAAAAGAAAGATTAAAAAACTTTGAGTTTATCTAATTATTATGATTCTTATCATCAAAAGTTTCTCTCTAACTTAAAATAAACGTTTCATTTAGATTTTTACAGGAGTATGAAAAGAATAACATCAGCTTTTGGGGTTTAACAGCTCAAAATGAACCTCTAGACGGGCTTGAAGTAGACTTCCCTTTCCAAGCTATGGGCTTCACGCCTGAGCTCCAACGAGATTTTATCAAGCTAGACCTCGGTCCAGCCCTCCATGATGCTGGCTATGGCAACATTAAACTGATGATGCTAGATGACATAAGATTGTTTGTAATCACATGGGTTAAAACTGTAAGTAACCAATTATTCTATGGCAAGAGTATTACGTTATATGATGGATAAATTTTTTAGAAAATAATATATAAATCTTACTTTTAGCATATTGAGTCTATACATTTTATAAAAATGTTAGTTTTATAATATGCTTGTAAAGTTTTGTTTATTTTAACACTTCTAATTTATTTGCTTTAATTTCTATGGTCCTCTGTTTAGCAATTTTAGGCAAATTCCTCATAGAACTCCCAAATCTATATCTCATAAATGGATTTTAGCTTGAATTATTTTTCAAAAAATCATGAGTCATATTTCCACTAGATTCTGTCAGACTCAGATGCCAGCAAATACATCTCAGGTGTGGCTGTTCATTGGTATGTAGATGCAGCTCTTCCATCAAGTATACTAACAGATGCTCACAACGCTTATCCTGAAAAGTTTTTGCTTTCAACAGAAGCATGTGAAGGTTCCATGCCATGGCAATTGAAAGTAGATCTAGGAGCCTGGGATAGAGCCGCCAGCTATGCCCATGACATCATTTCAGTAGGTCGCAAATACTTAATGCATACAGTCTCCTTATATGAAACCAAATTTTTTTTTCAAATGGGGCTTTCAAAGAAATGGAACGCCAAATATAAATCATGAGTCTAATATTTATTTCACAATTTTAGAGCACAACATGAATTAGAAATAAATCAACTCCTTTTAGCAGCATTACTTGTAGTACTATTTTATTTAAACGAAATAATGTATAATTTGTTTTCTCACTTCAACTAGGATTTGAACAACTGGGTTACTGGATGGACAGATTGGAATCTTGCACTAGATCCTCAAGGAGGACCAAATTGGGTTTCCAACAATGTTGACAGTCCTATTATAGTGAATGCTGAAAAAAAGGAGTTTTACAAGCAACCAATGTACTATATTTTAGGGCATTTTAGGTGAGTTAATATCAAGAGCAAGTCTAATGCCTTATAGTTTGTTTTTTTCAGTTTTATTGTATTTAATTCAGTTTTATTACATTTAATTCAATTTTATTAAATTTAAAAATAAAGAATGAAACTTGTAATTCAACACAATTTTTATAAACTAAATGTCTGTTTAAAATAATATTTTTACTCGTTCTAGCAAATACATAGTTCCAGGATCTATTTGGTTGGGCATTCAAGGGCCAAAACATCTCCCACTAATTGAGATAACAGCCTTTCTCCGGCCTGACAAATCAGTTGCTGTGGTGATATTCAACTTGTATGTCTTATGACTTTTTTAAGCCTTATTTTTATTATTTTCAATGTTGCTTTTTTGTTTGTTTATTTACCATAATTAAATAAATGTCCGACTTGAAGAGGTTATTTTAATTTTGTGACAGATCATTTTTATTTTAAAAGTAATAATGTCCTGTGAGAGCAAAGTCATTCACCCATTGGTGGATTCAAGGTGTGCACTTGGGCCTTCTAACTCTTGCTTGAAATACATAATATATATTATAAAAGAGTTATCATTTTCTTTTCACAGGGGGTTCAACTCTGTAGATCTGGAATTAACCGATGGAACAACAGGATACTTACCAGTGACTAGTCCAGGCAACTCAATACAGACTGTGATATGGTGGCCATCTTGATTGTATGACTCATTAATATGTTTCATTACTGTCCAATATTCTCATGTTGATATTCGACTAAATTCATTGTAGCACTATTGAAGCGAACGCGACAGACAAATTCAGTGTCTAGTTAGAAATGCTGACACTCAAGGAGTTGACATTCTCATAACAACTTGTTTCTGATAACATTTCGTTTTTGTTCATTTATACTCCCCATATTACAATTGTATGATTCTTTTTAATCTGAACTTGTTTTTATTTATAAAAGGTTAAAATAATTTTTCTGTTTGCACATTCCCATATTTTTAAATATATTTCCATGTTAATTTTTACTTGTTCATCCAGTTCACTTGCATTAAATGTTGATCTTATGTTAAAATGAATCAGACAAATCTTTAGAAATACTTGTATCATTTTCAAATTTATATTAGGAAGAATTTTTTGAATCCACATGAATTTTGATTATATAATAAAACTTGCTTGAAACTGTGCTCAGAATAATTCAATAATCAAACTGTATCTGATGCACGGTACTGTGATTAACTTTGTCAAAAACGCTTAATTAAACTCAAAAGAGTTATTACGGAAAAGAAAGTAAAATCCTTTATCACTGGGCAAACAACATATACAAGAATTATCTTAAAGACAAATAATGGAAGAACCCAGAAATAGAATCAGCCCCAAAATCAATCCAATGTTTAAAATGGTCTTGATCAATTTAAACTGACCAACTAACATCAGATAATAACTAGAAATCAACTTGATTTTTGTGATTGATAATTTTACCTATGATTGTGTACTGTATTGAGAATTGAAATGAGTGGGAATCATTCAGTATAAATAAACAGTTTTGACCTTTTACATAGAAAGTTAAAATTCACCTATCTTTGTCATTGAAAATTTATTTTATTTTTTTATTTTATACAAGACTACTGTACTTGTACTAATGTATTGTAATGATGTACTTGTACTAATGTATTGTGCTGATGTACTTGTACTAACGTACTGTACTGATGTACTTGTACTAATGTATTATACTGTTGTACTTGTACAAGTTGTACATAAGGTAAAGACAACAAAATAAAAATAACTTAATGAAATTTGTACACTATTGATTATGTTTATAGTATGCAGACTGTTGTAAAAAGTAATTTGACAGCCTTATTTTTTTAGCACAAGGTTTAGTTCCCTAATGGTCTTTGCATTTGAAGATGATTGTTTATAAAGTTTAGGTTTTGGAATGTTGTTATTTGCGAAGTATATCAGAATAAAATATTTTATGTATAAGAAGTTTCTTTTTAATTTGTATAATACCCATCTGCTCATGTGCTTGGATAAAATAAAAATGGGGGGAAGCCTCCTCATGTCCCATAGTCCTTGGACCGTTGGGGCGCCACAGATGACATGTGAACCATCCTCCTCCATTCCTCTCTGTCTTCAGCACTACGCACTGCATCGCCCAGTGTTAGTCCTGTCCACTCTTTGATGTTATCCTCCCATCTTTTTCTTTGTCTTCCTCTTCTTCTCCCTCCTCTTGTGGTGCCCTGCAATATTTCTTTGGCAAGCCCTTGTTTCCTTGTTACGTGGCCGAACCATTGTAATTTGTGTTTTTTCACAGTCACCAGTAGGTCATCGTACTCCCCAATTGCCTGACGAACCCTTTCTTTTACTTACCATTGGAGATATGGTCACAATAGCAGATGCCAAAAATGCTTCTGAAGCATCTCATCTCCATTGCCTTTATTTTCCTTTCAAGATCGGCTGTTAATGTCCAGGATTCGCAGGCATACAGGAAAATGGAGAGGACTAATGAGCGCATCAGCCTGATTTTGGTGCTGGGGGCTATATTTTTGTCATTCCATATTTTCTTGAGCTTTTTTAGTGCTTTTGTAGTCTGTGCAATCTTGGACATCAGTTCGGGCTTGGAGCCTTCTTCTGAGACTATTGCTCCTAGGTATTTGAAGCGCCCGACAGTCTCTAATCTTTCTTCCCCGACTTTAACTTCAGTGGTGATGCCTGCGGTATATTTTGTCATCAGTTTTGTCTTTTCAGCACTGATTAGCATGCCGTAGGACATATCGACATGAGGTCATATCGAGACGCTTTACCAGTTTGGCTAGCTCTTCTTCGTTCCCAGCCAGCACATCTATGTCGTCCGCAAAGCGTAGGTTGGTGATTGTTCTGCCACCAATGCTGACTGTCCCTTCATGCGCTTCCAGAGCATCTGACATAATTCTCTCTAGGAAGATGTTGAATAGGGTGGGGGATAGCAGGCAGTCTTGTACTCCAACCGTGGTCTTGAACCATTCTCCGATGTTGTTGTTGAGGAAGACTGCACTGGTGGCCTTATCATAGAGGTTGCATATCATGCTGGTTAGGTTTGTGTTGATGTTGTAGTGCCTCATGGTGGCCCATAAAGCAGCATGCCAAACCCTGTCAAATGCTTTCTTGAAGTCAACAAAGACGTGGTAAAGATTTTGTTGGTGTTGAGCATATTTCTCACATAGTATTCGGAGGTTTAGAATCTGCTCAGTAGTGCCCCGTCCTTGTCTGAAGCCCGCCTATTCTTCAGCAATGATTCTGTCAGCATATGGTTTTTAATCTAAGTATGTATAGCAGAGTTAGTCAGACTTAACTAAATCTAAGTATGTGCATCTGAGTTAGCCAGACTGAGCAATTTCTTCTAACTTTGGTTAGAATCTAAAAAAAACAAAAACATTTTCAACCAAGGCTGCCATAAAATAATATGTTTCCCACCTTGTGGGCCATTGGGGAAAACAAGCAAGAAAATTTAAACCCCAGTATGGTTCCCGGTCTCCGGTTGACAAGTTTGTGGTGGCTTTTCGATTAGGAGGCGTCGGCCACCGACTCCCTCGATGTTACCCGGGGAACACAACTACTGGGCGCGTCCTGAGTGGGCAGACAAGGGATGTGCTCGGTACCTGCCGTACATAAAACAGCTCCTACAGGGCTGCCAGTTGTGGTATTTCCCAACTGGAACAATATGCAGAGACAGGGTAGGGATCATGAATACAAGTTGCTGTTAATGGATATGAGGCGAGATGCGAAGGTGGTAACCTCTGGCCGATGATTCTTAATACGCAGCCCTGAGAAGCTGCTCCAAGGCAACCGTTTTGTCTGAGCTGCATCGCGAATTAGTTGCGTTGTGGAAACCCACTGTAGAATCCCTCTTATAGGGCGTCTAACGCTTCCCCGGGATGGGTGGGGGAAGATATTAGGACGTACATTTTTCCATCCAGACTCCTGAGAAAGTCGATCGTGTGCACTGTGTGCGAACACAGTGTCGGACCGACCGGGTGTCTCTGGGTTAAGATGGCCCCCGGCGGAGACCCTGGTCGAGCAGACTCGGGTGGGGGCTGTCCTGACAAAGGGACATCCCCAACGTGCCGCTCCGAGGACCGATACACGGGTTGGAGAGGGGTGTTTTGGGGAGGGCATAAAGAGCGCAAGCTCGATGGCCCACTGACGCCATTTCTTAATGTAACAAACCCCAGTATGGCCACTCATCAAGTGGTAGGAATATAATAATATAAGAACAAATTAATCCATTAAAAAATTATAACAAATTCATTAAGTTTAAGCAGACCAAAAAAATCATAACAAATTCATTAAGTTTAAGCAGACCATTTCTGTCAGAACCAACAGCTTTGGCTTTAAGGTACCTATATCAAATCAGAGAATTTCCCATTTGTCCATTGTATGCTAATCAGTTTAAAAAACCTTGAATTTTTAATATATGCTTTTATGTAAACATTGATAAATATAACAACCTAGTGATAACATCAGAATCTGACTTACTTTGAACACTGATGTTTTTCTATAAACTGAATGCCAATCATGTCACCAGGTTCAGAGGGATAAGTTATTTAGTTTTAAAAGATAAATGTTTAGATGTTATCATTGTAAATGTGCCACCAGATTTGATTATACTGCTGTAAATTACTCATAAGTGTTGACCCAAAAACAAGAAGATAGAAATCATCTCAGCAGTTTTTTTAACTTGAAATTAGTGAACACGATTTTATCAGAATTTTACAGCACCTATTGCTCTCAAAAGGATATTGTTGTCATTAGACACAGATTACAAATAAATTGCATTTAGTCATGGATATCTAGGCCTTAAGAGAGAAACTTTTCAAAGGTTCACTGTTGTGATTGTGCAATTATCCCAAAAATAATGTATCACAGGTTGTTTTGTGTGTACTTTTTAACCTTGACATATATACTGGATGTTACAGGTAATTTATGAAAATAAGTTTGTATGAAGATACAATAATTTTTAGAAAAAGCATGTTTTTATAAGACTGACACACAATAGGCCACTAGATCTACATGATGATGATAAGACTTAAAGATTATTATATGGCATGATATGAGTATTATCTAAGCAACTTGGGTAAACATTTTAAGCTAAAAAATTTTTTTTACATTTTTGGGGATTAGAAAAAAAGTTAATTGATAATCTACATGTATTTCAGTTTCACTGTATTAATGTTATATACAAAATGACCATTTACAAATAGAAACAGATATAATCAATCAGAGATTTTCATAAACACTGCTAACCATTTCATCAACCACTGATGAAGGAATAAGAGTAAAATTAATGTTTATGATCATGCATCACAGGCTCACCTTGTTCTCCCTACACTGTGAGGCCAGGAAATATTGTATGTGTGTGTAACAACAGTTACTGTGACACTGTACCTGCAGCAGATAGAGTTGATCAAGGACAATTCATTGTTTTTACAACATCCCATTCTGGACAACGGTTTGATAAACAGATTTACTCTCGGACTAAAAGCAATTCTAGTTCAATAGGTATAAAGTAAGAATTCATATGATAAAGACCCAGTGGCATAGGAAAGGGGGGGGGGGGTGGTCAACACTTGGCAAATTTTTTTTCTCCTTATATTGAGGGGTGGCTTTTTTAACTGGCTGGAGAGTTTTTTCAGTGGAAGTGGGCAGCAAAAAGCTTGAGCTGCCCTGGGCGGCACTAACCCTTGCTTCACAACCATAAAGACCTACATTTTAAAAAAAACAAGTTTGTTCTTAACATAAAAAACATAAGTTTTAGTGACATTTCTGGAATCCATGTAAATCTTTTGTTACTCATTCATTCAAGATTATTATGTATTGGTTAACACAACACGACAATCTATCATCGGGTTTGGTGGTGCCTTCACTGATGCTGCTGGGATCAACATTGCAAGTCTTCCCTTTGGTGCCCAAACTAATCTAATTAACTCATATTTCTCTAAAGATGGTAAGTGAAAGTAGTTATACTACACAGTATCTATATGTGAATGTGACATATGCAATGAATTTATGCCACCTGGGTGTCTGGTTTATTAGGGCTCATAATAATATTATAGGGGCCTACTTATACAGACACATCCCAGTTTACATGGCTTGTCATATACCTACCTAAAAATCTTCACTTTACTAGGATATTAAATATAATGGTTACTTTAAATAAGCTGATTATGCAAATTACATCATGTTCAACAATTGGGGAGCATGCATCTTCCAAAATTTTAAAGGATATTATGAGACATAATGTAACTTCAAATGCCACTGAATGAAATAATTTAACTTAATAGAGATAGCATGACTTGCTAATTGTTTAACGGCATGGTTGACTTTTACTTTTATAAAAGTTAAAAAGATTAAGCTAAAGCAGTTGAAAATAAGCAGTGACATAATAATGATGTATGCTAGTATTAAGATGTAGAGAATCCAGATCCCAAATTGACTATACGCTTACAAGCATTTAACATCTATTTATGTGGAGACTTACTTAATCAGCCAATCTGGCAGTGGAGAACACCTCCTTGAAGTTTTAACTTATACATAATATGGGCTTTATATACAAAGCTTGGCACCCATGGCAGTTAGAAAAATACAAAAATATTAACCACAGCACGTTTGGATAAACCTTAGATCACTATTCATTCTTGTGAAATCATCCCATCTGTTCATACAATATTTCTCTTAAATCTGACCCCAATTAGTTCTCTGACATCTGATCTGACCCCATTGAATTCTGTGATACCTGACCTCATTTAGTTCTCTGATATCTGGCCCCATTTAGTTTTCTGATATCTGACCCCATTTAGTTCTCTGATCCCATTGAGTTCTCTGATATCTGACCCCATTCAGTTCTCTGATATCTGAGCCCATCTAGACACCCTACAGTCTAGTATTCATGTACAATCCAAAACCGATTCTCTAATTAATTAATTTAAAAAAACAAGCAAAA